TGTGCGGTGGGCGGACCGAGCTCGCAAGGCCGCGCGCCCCTGTCGCTAACTCTCCGTCTCTACGGCGTCGTAGGCCTCGCTCTGCAGCGAAACGACGTCCAAACAGCCTTACAACGCCAGCAGAACGTAAGGTAGACGTCAGGTAGCGCGAGGGAGTTCGTGAGAGCATCTCTCGCTCGTTGTCCTCGTCAAGTTGTGCAGCTTGCACCCTGCTCTCATTCGAATAAGAGCATTGATGGCTGACTCTGGGAAGCGACAGCGCAATCGGCGAAGAACGGAGCGGCTGTCGCGAGATGAGGCTGTCTTCGGAGCGGTCGCCTCGACCAAGTCTCGACCGAGCAAGTGCGCCCCGCCGAGCAGCCGTTCGACGTCCAGTAAAGAGCTCCAGCAGCGTCCATCTCTGAGCCTCGGAAGCCACGACGCGCCGCCTCGCACACGCACCGGGCCAGGAAGATCACCGCGAGACAACAATCGATTGCGACGCGGTTTAACAGGCAGACCAAGTGTGGTTCTACGTCGGCGCAGGATGCGCTTAGTAGACCTTCTTGGCAGCGAGCTGGAGGTGGGACGAGTACTCCTCGTAGGGCGAGGGCGAGGGCTGCGGATTGCAAGGGTTAGTGAGGAGAGTGAGCGGAAGAGAGGAAGAACGGACCTCGATCTTAGTCCAGAGGTCGGGGGTGAGGAAGCCGTAGGTGGCGGTGATGGCGGCGTAGGCGGCCTTGATGAAGTTGCCCATGCTGCGGAGGCGGAACAAAGGTCAGTCTGGCTCAGCCCGAGAGAACGTCGGGGACGCGAACGCACGTCGAGGTGTTGCCGCGCGACTGGGTGTAGCAGTCCTCGACACCGGCGAGCTGGAGCATGCGCTTCGAGGCGGGGGCGGCGACGATACCGGTACCGCGGGGGGCGGGGACGAGCTTGACGTAGACGGATCCGGCCTTGCCCTGGACCTTGCACGGGACGGTGTGAGGCTCACCGAGCTTGTTGCCCCAGTAGCCGCGGCGGACGGGGATGACCGAGAGCTTGGCGAGGATGATGGCGCCGCGGATGGCGGTCGCGACCTCCTTGGCGCACTTGACACCGAGTCCGACGTGGCCCTCGAAGTCACCGATGGCGACGAACGCCTTGAAGCGGGTGCGCTGGCCGGCGCGGGTCTGCTTCTGGACGGGCATGATCTTCATCACCTCGTCTGCGCGCAAGAACGGGGTCAGCAAGTCGACCTCCGTCTGCGCGCGACTGGCCACGATTCGCACGCACCCTTGAGCTTGGGAAGGAGGATGTCAATGATCTGGTACTCCTTGACGGGGAGCGAGAAGAGGTAGATCTCCTCGATCGACTTGATCTTGCCGTCCTTCACGAGACGCCCAAGCTTGGTGACGGGGACCCTGCAAACGCCAGCACCTCAGCCCATGTTCATGTCCTCCAGGGTGAGCGCGCGGACGCACCACTCCTTCTCCTCGTCCTTGCGGGCACCGCGGCGAGGACCGCGACGGGGTCCACGGCGGTCACCACCACGGCCACGGCCGAA